AGGAAAGCCAAACTGCTGAAATGGAAATACTGCAAAACCGAAGAGACATTTATGGAATACAAAAAGGCAGCGGTTATTGCAAAAAATAGACTGAGAGAAATCAAACAAGATTACTGGAAAAACTTCTGCGATGGATTAAATCAATTCACAAACCCATCGTATATCTGGGATAGAATGAAAAGATTAAAATACAGATTTAACAAGACAGATCGGGAACGAGAATGCAAAGAAGAACTAACTAATTCTGCCATAACGACCTTTGGAAAGCTATGCTCCGGGGTGGATGAACCCAATCAAGCACCGGCATTCGATTACGAAAATCAGGATTCATTCCTCGACTCAGAATACACAATCCAAGAACTCCTCTACTCAATTAAAAACCTCAAAGTCCGATCCTGCCCGGGTCGGGATGGAATAGATTACGCCATAATACGCAATTTACCAAAGGAAGCCTTAGAAATCCTGCTAGAAATTTATAACGACATTTTAAGAGCAAGAGTGTTCCCAGATGATTGGAAAAAATATAGAGTATTCTTTATCCCTAAACCAGATAAGACTAGTGTAAGACCCATATCGTTGGCGTCATGCGTGTGCAAGGTGCTAGAAAGGATGATAAACATGCGCATATCTTGGTGGCTAGAGAAGAATATGAAGTTCTCAGAATCACAATATGGATTTCGGCGAAACAAGGGTTGCACAGACAACCTAGCTATATTAACAACTGAAATAATAAAAGCGTTTGAAGAACGGAACACAGTATCGGCCGTATTCTTAGACATTAAAAGCGCATATGACAACGTCCACTGCGGCACTTTGATGGATAGACTCAAAGCCGTTGGCTTTTCGGGAAACCTGATAGCTTTTATATTTAACCTGGTCTCCGCAAGGGAATTAGAGGCAAACTACGGGGGGGTAGAGCTCAAAGACTGGACATACAAAGGCTTACCCCAAGGTAGCGTACTGAGTCCAACCTTATATTCACTTTATATGGCTGGACTGAAATCCAAAATCAACCAGAACTGCAAAATCCTGGAATACGCAGATGATGTTGCAATTTATTCAGTTCACAGATGTAGCAGAATTGGTGTGGCAGAAGTTGAAAAGAGCATACAAAGCATTGAACTCTATCTAAAGGAAAGTGGCTTGGAAATAGCACCAAAAAAATGTCAACTGTGTATCTTCGATAAAAAAGGTACAACTGAAGGAGAATGGGAGATTAAGGTACAAGGGGAAAAGGTTTCCTCAGTCAAATCAATAAAATTTTTAGGTCTGCACCTAAAATCCAACTTAGACTGGGAGGACGAAATAAACGCAATAGTCAGGAAGTGCGAAAACCCGATGAAAATCATGAACTGTGTGAAGCACACCTGGTGGGGAGCGGATCCTGTAATTTTAATTAGACTCTACAAGGCACTGATAAGGTCGAGGATGGAATATGGAGCATTTTTATTTCATAAACTTAAGAAGAAACAAGCTCAGAAGCTTGAGAAGATACAATATAGGGCTATTCGTGGAGCGCTGGGTTACAGGAGTAGCACCCCGACCAATGTAATGCTAGCTGAGGCCAAAGAAGTCCCAATCTTTAGTAGATTTAAACAGTTGGGAAAGAACTACGTGTCCAGGTGTTATACATCAACCAATCATCCAATGATCCAGCTGCTGGAAGAATTATCAGCTCTACACGATAACCCAGGGAGAGGAGAAAATGAACTACCAGTCATTAGCAAATGTTACAAAGAGGTATCCCCTCTTGGGCATTTAATCCAATCAGGGAACTGTCCCAAGGCCTACGACTACACGTACGAAAGTCTCTTCTACGAGGCTAGAGTATCGTTCGATGAGGGAAGACAAATAAAGGAAACAGAAGATCATAACAAGGAATTTTACAAGATATTCCAAGAAAGAATTAGGACCAGCAAAAGTTTCGCCACGGACGGCTCAAAAATGGTGGACAAGCCTTTTGTAGGATTGGCACTGATAGATATAAACGATGGTCGTCGAATGAAATTCAGAATATCCAAGATAGCGTCCATATTCACTGCAGAAGCATTCGCAATTGCCGAAACACTGGAAATCATCGAAAAAACAGAATCCGGGCAAAACTTCACGATTTTCTCGGACTCGGCAAGCGTGTTACAAAGCATTGGTAACCCCACTAAAATAAGCAACGCATCGCACATCATCCACATGCTAAAGGATAAAACAGAGAGACTCGAATCACGAGGGAAAAAAATCCAATTCTACTGGATCCCGGGGCACTGTGGAGTCGAAATTAATGAGAGGGTCGACTCGCAGGCAAAGCTAGCAATTAAAGAAGGCAGAGATAGCCAACTACTACTACCCGTGGCTGATCTTAAAACCGAGTGGAAAATGAAAGGGAAAGAAGAACTCCACAGCTTTTGTCAAAACACCAAACAAGAAAGGGGAGAACGCTACTTTGAAAGGTACTATAGGAAAGGCTCTACTCCGTGGTTTAGTCAGATAAAAATGAACCGTCGTGCCTTCGTGTCAATAAACCGTATGCGAGCAGGACATACCAGTCTCAAAGGAAGTCTAAACAGATTTAACATTGTGCCCACGGCCGAATGTGAATGTGGTGACGGGTTGCAAACGGAGGAACATATTTTCTGGGATTGCAAACAGTGTGACGACCAAAGGGCAATAATGATGGGCATCCTCTCCGAGAACAGTAAAAAGCACTACCCAAAATCAGTCACAGAGCTCTTGAGGCTAGAAGAAAAGAGATTTCTGCAAGGCGTCTGCTACTTCATAAACAACATTCCCATATATATTTAAAACGGATACGTAAGGAAAGAACAAGAGGAAATGGCACGGACCACTCACAACATTCTCAAATTTACGCTAAGATGTGAATCAACTGCGGGCTCACCGCTACTACAGAAAGAGAAGTTTTTAGAATGTGCTACAGAAGGCCGGATGGGCATTGCCTAGGCCACTTTTGTATCCTAGTTTTTTTTGCCCCCCCCCCAAAAAAAAAGAGTTACTCAAGTGGTGTCCAAACAAAAACTGAGTTCCAAACATGCCTATCAGTTGAGGCTAAAAGCAGAAATGACTTAAATGTCAAATGTGTGGCATTAGAAACCAAATGATAAAAACTTTCTTGAACCATGTAAAAGGGTCTCATAATCAGAGCCAAAGTGAAGACAGCAAAAGTGTTGAAGCTGAACAAATATGCCGTAATACAAAACAGAAGATATTAAATAACCAACAGTTTCAAGAGTTAACTAAACATATATACAAATAATTCTGTACAGCAGAACCTACCTCAAAAAATATTAGGCAAAGGTAAAGTTGTCCCTTTGCTTATGCATCATACCATTATGGCATATTAATAAATCAGCATTTTACCGATATCCAATCTGCATTCTCAGAAAAGAAAACTTAATTCTGACATAAATTAAATAGTTTATTGTTCATAGAGGACGGAAACTAAGCTCAGCAATATACCGTTCCTGATATTAACTTCTCAGGTCGCTACACAGGCAATTCAAATGATTCCCAGATCAATTCCCTATAATAACACCCACAATTATGCAAATTACACTCTGCTTCAGTTAGGTTTTACTAACAGATAACACACAGAAACAAAATACTACTGAAATGGTTTGAACTACTGTGTCTTCTAATGCAACATTCCCTTATAAATGATGAGTCTACAAGACTTATCATTAGGCCAAAATTAAATAACTGCACAGAGTATCATTTATTGAACAATCAATATATGTAAAGTTAAGAATATTACAGATGATAATGTTTTTCCTTGATACAGCAGAAGAAAAGATTTAATGGACTAGTTGTTTAAGTACGTAATAGCTTTCAGCTATATTAAACCGTCTTCGAACCATGTCACTGGTCTCAGCATCTGTATTCAGAGACAAACTAAAACAATATGGCAGACAGTTTTGGCAGCAGTATAAACCACTTATTTTTCATAACTTATATTACATACTGAATGTATTTAAATTTGTACAGTTTTGTCCCAGTATGTATATGAAATGACAAGAAATTAAAGAAGAAGATGCAATAGTATATTAAACTTTTCAATACCATGTTCATTTTCATAAGCCATGACTGCCAGAGTGAATTTCTGAAGCACTCTAGAAACAAAAATACTATAAATTTTAGAATAAAACAAGGTTCTTGCTTTAGTCTACTTCAGAATTAAAGGAGAAAAAATAAAATGAACTGTCCTGTGCATATCCATAGTCCTTCCATGCAATACTGAATACCCCACAACAGAGCATGCTAAACTAAATGATAAAGAATCAAGCTATACAAGGAATTTCATGTTACAGCAGCACCAAAGTAGGCCTTTTATTGTAAGTGAGATTAGATTTGAAAGGGGTAAGCATTAAAAGACCTTGCATCGTGACTATCCATGATCTATGATTTATTAGAAATCTCGAGGCTCTGTTCTCATTTCAGATTTTTCAGAACATGAACGAATACAATAGAAGTGAATATCTTGGTGCAACCAAAAGAAACAATGGGTATTACTGAATAATTCAAAGAACAGGATTACTTAAGGGTCTCAAAATGGAAATCAAACAACTGGTAACCTAGAGAAACAGATTCCAGATCTGGCATAAGAAAGTTCTATGGAGGTCATAAAACTGAACAAATCTGTTTCGTAAAGAGGAAATGAAGTTCACTGCTTCATGTTGCAGGTAGCAGCATACAAACTTTGCCAGAAAATAAATGAAGAAGGATAATTTAGAAAATATGATATTCAAGGATACAGATATGTCAGTAAAACTCACAGCTTGCAAGTGGATGGGGGGGGGGCAGGCGTGTTCCCTTAACAGGCCATGAAGGCCCATAGGGCTGTGAGACATTGAGGCTCCCACATTTCCTAGACAATCGGCAAACAGATGACAAGATGGCAGTGAGGTTGTCAGCCTTACATGCCTACTGCCTTTACCCCCACGAAGATTCCTAGTACTCATTTCTGTTAGGGGCTGAGTCAATCCTATGGTCACAGTGAGGCTGGAAGGATTAGGTCAACTGAAAAAGCCAATGAACTAATCAGGAATCAAACCAGCTTCCTTATCCAGTGTCAAGTGCTAGGATTCCATGCAAAATTCAATATACAACTGCAGATGGAACCACAGGCATAGGCATCAATGGTGGTCAGATTTCAGATTTAAGTCACTAATTTATGAAAGGATTCTTAAAGAAAAAACACCCAAAACTTTTTTATAAGTTATATACAGATAATACAGAAAATAATTCCATAATATTTTATCAGAATGTTATGGAAACTTGTAATACAACTAAACAACTGTTAATACCTATTAATGAATCAAATTTTGTAATAAAACTTTATGGATTATATAGAATTTTCTCTCCTTATAGAAGTATGTAATAAAGTAACTGGTCTTTGTCATTGTACAGGCAAATATTTTGGTGTTATATGTCACCTTTGGCTTAGGAAAGATTTTTGCAAATATACTATAAGTGACTAGCTGTTCATTTCAGAACTATTGTCTCTAGTTCTGTTCATATGCATATCCTAACAGACTATGATCCAGTTATCATAACTCCAGCTCTATTAGGTACGGTAGATATGTGGTGAGGTGATGTTATCTCAATATATGGATGATACTATTCAGTCACAAAAAATAACTTAATTCACTGTACCTCTTTTCTTAAAGTAGCTGTGCCAATTTGGTTGATACAGCACCATTAAATAAATAAATAAATAAATAAATAAATAAATTACTTCTGTATACAAGAAACAATAATGATGCTGCTTGAGGCCAAGATAATAATGTGTGCCAAGAGAGAGTTGCATTTGCTGGTTATAGGCAGTATTAATTCTCACAGTAGACGGATCTGCCACCAGTTGTCTGTCATCAGCTATAATAATTTTCACAAAAAATTCTTACTTAGAAGAGCTTCTTGAAAACTGTATTTTCTGTTTTTCCAGTAATAAATGTTATAATTGGATTCGAGTAACTGTAGCCACCAGTAAAAAAAAAATCCAAGTGAACTAAATAAATATATTAATAAATTCATTATAACCATGCAGCAAAACAGCAAAACGTTTTTCACTTCACATCACTGTCCCCCAGAACTTAGCTTAGTAATGCCTACTCTTCTTGTGTACAGAGCTGCAGAAAGGATAACCAGACAAAATGTAAAACATTCAATGGTACAGAAAATGCATTCATCAAAATAATGATAAAATAAGGGCTAAGTATCTGTTAAACAATTACTCTCAAATATGGTACAGAATGAAAAAATAAATTTACAGCATCAACAACACAACCACAGTAGTGCAACAACAAAACCTTACATTATAAATTGTGTAAAAAATGCTGTTACAAAATATCTCCTATTCTAACATTAACTAGATGGAGCATGTGGAGAATTATTGCCTCATTCAACACACATTTCATCATCATCATCATCATTTATCAATTGCAAACAGCAGTGCCACATTCATGCTTAAATTAAAAGACATCCCATCACAAAATATGTAAAAAGTATAGAGATAATGTCTCTGACAACAGTTCATAACGAAAATAAAAGACAGAAGGAAGCAACAGCCTGTACAGTGAAATACAGAAGTGAATGGGTTTATTGCTGTAAATCAAAAGCAAAAATGAAACACACTACTTCAGTTCTTGCATCACTGTAGAACTATTTTGTCCATGTGCCAAATTACCTTCTGTAGATGTTCCATGCCCCTCCTCACCCAGTGACAGAAAGTTATTTCTAACACTGGCGTGCCCATTAGGCAGCTGTAATTATTTCCAATGACAGGACAACAAAGAGAGTGGGCAGATATATAAATCTCTGAACAAGGTAGTGACAAGGTATTGTCACATGATTCCTGAAAGGGAGAATAGTTAAACAAGGAGAAACGGCCATGGCTAGGTAACAGCTTGGTAAATAGACTCCCATGGCAATGAATATGCATGCAACAACAGAAGAACTGTTGGAAGCAGTGATTTCTGTGTGGTCCATCCTGAAGCTACATGATGAGGACCAACAGGACAAGTTAGTTAGTTGTGAGTCAGCACTCATAGTTTCGTGGTTAGCCATGAACACAGAAGTAAAGGAATTTCCACTGTTAGAAGCCACTACCTAGCAATGACTAGTGAAGACATAACAAACTGTGAGATTAAGTGTGTGCTGTGGCTATCTGTAGAGCATGTAGTTTAGTGAGAATGTCATAAACATTTGTACTAAGAAGCTCTCTTTCAAATCTTAACTATTAAAGTATACACACAAACACAGATAGAGTATCAAAGGTCTTACCCTGAGGCCATCAGATCTCCTTAAATTGCAAAGAAATGTATTTATCCCAAAGTGCCCACTGTATACGGTTAAATAAATACTGATTTATGTAACTGGTCATGCAGTATACTCAGAATATATACAAGCTGAAATAAATTTGCTTTATATTACTGCACTGTATATTAGGTTTCAAAACTTATAACATTATAGCAAGAAACTCATTTTCGGATATTCCAGAGTACTGTGCTGTTTACAGCCTCCTGTTTTCATGGCCTTAATCCACATTTCTCAGTTTCACAAGACATATTTGAGAACTCACACATATTACAATACAGCCACTAGAAAAAATTAAAGCTATTATTTTCCCTTTGGCTAATTATTTTAAATAAAGACACTATTCCTTTGACTTGAAGGCATATATTGCACGTATAAAGTGTCACTGATGAATGAAAGGCTTGACAGTGATTATCACAGTGCTCGGGAAATCTTAAGGCTCTGCCTCTTGCCTGCACCACTGGCAGTGGAAGGCAAATTTGAGCTTTTCTGTGCTGTGGCTGAGGCTCCTGCAGCTGACAAACTCTTGGGGAGACTGGGCAGTGTTTTCCGACGATGAGATACACTACATTCACAGCTGGTCTTGTCCCGACCTCCTGGAGAATATGGCAGTGAACGCAGCAAACCAAATGGTTGTATGCTATCAGAATTTGTTCCTGAATGACCCAAGTACAAGTGTGCACATTTGTATAGCCGTGTCTGTGCTGAGAGAATTTCTTCAAGATCTTGCTCACTGCAATGATATAACTAAATTAACAATGCCACTTTTTCCACTAGGAATAAGCAGTTCTAGAAAGAGCAAATTAAGCATAATTTTCTTGGAAATATTTCAATCTATATGGTGAGGACAGCAAAAAAGTATAAATATTCTAGGGGGTAAAGGGTGGCTGGCGCGTAGGGCTCACACGCTTGCCGCCATCTATGAGCCGATTGTCTAGAAAATGTGGTAACCTCAACATCTCACAACCCTATGGGCCTGAACAGCCTGTTACAGGGATACCTTTACTTTACTTACTTTTAAGAGTACATAACATATTACTATTAATACAAGTAAAATCCACTGTAGACTGGCTCCTGACAATATGAAAGAGGTAGGATCTATTTTCCAGGAAAATGGAAACATTACGATACTAACACAGCAAGCCACTGCAGCAAACAGTAGAAGAAATCTGATGAAGACTATGCAGAGTATACTGCAGTAACAAATATGAAGCTGCTCACAGCTTATAACGTTTTGAAAGATATAGGTTCACCTAACTGTTAAATTAGGTTTAAACTATTGTTGCATGTAAGTAAGTCAATAAGTAAGTTACAAATGGATATAGAACTTAAATAAGAGTACTGATTTCAAAAATGCTCTTATTTCTCAACATAATCTCCCTGTACATTGAGGCACTTGTCCCATCATTTCACTAGCCCCTGAGAACCAGCAGCATAAAATTCTTTGGGCTGCTGTCGGAAGCAGGTGGTGACTGGGATCATGAAGGCATTCTGCTCACTGCATTCCAGCCTCAAGGACAAACTGTAAATGCCGACTCCTACCGTAACATCCTCAGGAAAATTTTTAAGGCCATTCAACAGAAGCGACCAGGACTCCTCACCAAAGGTGTGTTGCTCTTGCATGACAACACGTGTCCCTATACTTCCAAAAAGACAAATGAGAAGGTGCGAAATTTAAAGGGGGAAGTCCTTGAGCATCCTCCATAGAGCCCTGACCTTTCTCCAAGCGACTTCCATTTGTTCGGCCCTCTTAAACATCATCTTTCGGCTGCACATTTTCCCGACGATGAAGCTGTAGAAAGGGAAGTCACCAGCTGGTTCCGAAAGCAGACCAAAGAATTTTATGCTGCTGGTTTTCAGGGGCTTGTGAAATTATGGGACAAGTGCCTCAATGTACAGGGAGATTATGTTGAGAAATAAAAGCATTTTTCAAATCAGTACTCTCATTTGTTTAAGTTCTATATCCATCTGTAATTTACTTATTGATTTACCCTCGTATATATAAGTTTATCATATGAATGATTTTTATTCTTATTGTATATTATTTTATTGTTAATTTTAACAAATGTCTAGTCTAGATTTGTCTATTTTGTGAACTGAATAGAAACTAACTTGTATGAACCGTTTATAAAAATGTCAACGTTATCGTTACAATTCGGTAATGGTATGTGAGAAACTTGCAGCACTTGAAGTGCACTTGTGGTTGAAATATGTAATGTGTGCTATATAAGTAAACAAACAAACAGTAAACTATTGTTGCGCTGACTGTAAAAATTGTATATATTCATTATTCTGAATCATATTACGTATGCACGTATTCACCAGACAATATATGTGCCGCTAATGAAAGTTGTGGGCATGAGTAACATTTGCTTTATGTCTTACATATTTAACAAAGTTCATTTACTTTCAAGAAATCATTACTACAATAACAGACAGGTGTCACATAATTCATCTATTTAACATCAACCCTATGGGTGCATTCCAATTCTTCTTCAATATTCTCTACATTTTTTCCACCACAGATTTTGAAATGTAATAAATTCTTAAACCTTAGATTTCTCTACATTACTACTATGGCTCACTGAAAACTATAGCTCTTAGGCTAGTTGTGAATGGGTTATGACTCACTTAGCTGCAGCAAGAAACTGCTGATAAAGTTTGCCTGGTACGACACTGGGGTTGTCTGTCCCTTCATTATACAGATCTGTTTCCCTGTTGTAGAGGTAGATAAAGTCATTCAGCTGTTTTGCCACTACAGCCACACGATCTTTCCCAGCAAGTTTTCGACTTGGAACCTGCAGCATCAACAATACACATTAATTTTAAAATAGTGTACTGTAGCTGTCAGGTGTAGTGGCACTTCATTCCACTGATTCTCTGAAGGACTGTCCCAGTGGTAGGTTCATTACATCAACATCATTTTTGACATCATCATGTGTCTATGGTAACCTGTATTCAAAATACACAATATTATGACATTCAATTTTATGCCCATCTTCATATACTGGCATGTGTTGCATTACTTTTTAGTTTGCTGGTGATAGCTGGCATCATACCCGGGATGTTTTGAATACTAAACCAGCTTACCAACCTTTACACAGCAGAACTGTTGCTAATAATCTTAAAATAAATAAATAATAAATATCCATCAATATAAAGACAACCAACTGCATGAAAATGAGAGTATAGAGCCAACTTCTTGAAAAATGTGTATATCGAATGAACTTCCTGCAATGTGCATTTTTCAACATATCATCTGTATGCTCTAGTCAGACTCGAAGTTCCATACTTCTGAGAAAAGATGTTCAAGGAAATCACAACAGATGATGGTGATGGCGATTTGTTGTTGTTGTTGTTGTTGTTGTTGTTGTTGCTGCTGCCGTTGTACATTATCATTATAAAATTTCAAAATGGGTAGATCATCCTATGATAAAGCCTTTTCTGTTCCTTCATACTTTCCTACAAATGTTCCTCCTTCTCTATCCATTTAAACTGCTTCAATCACATATATTTACAAATACAGATTTTTCATTTTTACCTTACTTAACAATGCTGTGAGTTACTCAGCTTATACAGCATCACAGCATCAAATAATGAGACAGCACTGAATAATGAAATGAAAAGGATATGCAAGGAAGTGATCATGGACTAATTTTAAGGTACTGTCCTGGTATTTGCTGGTGGAAGTGAGCAAAACCATGAAAAACCTGTTAGGATAGTTGGTGTTCCAGATGGATTTCAGTGGAGTACCTACTAGATAGAAGTCAGAAGTCTTACCACTTGAAACAACTTGCTCAACAGAATTGAACATGCATGAGTGGACAGATAATAATACATACAAAATCAAGCTTGTTATTGTTGTATTTTACAATATTATTCTTAATGACAGCTACTACTTTTAAAGTACAATGTGAGTTTTCAAGATACTGACTGAAGACACAAAGTTGGATGTAACAAATATTTCATACAGATTTTGGTACCTCAGTAATCTCAAAGATAAATGTTCATTTATTTCATGTATACCTAGGGGACATTTTAAAGAACCATTTTCTTTTACCATTTCTACCACAAACCCCACATTAAGAATATTTAAAAATATGGTTCTTATATATAAGTAAATGCACTGCCTCCCCATTCAGTCCTTTTCAATTTTAAATTGCTTATGAAAATAACGAAAATTTACTCTGCGAGCCAAAGAAACCAAACTGACCTTACACACACAATATCAGGTTACTGACGGTTGAGGCAGGTGTCACACAGTTATTACTGAGCTGCGAAGGATTAAAAAGCATTACCAGTATGTTAACATAAGACAAAGAAAAGTGATAAAATTAAACCTTTCAGCTTATGAATGAAATAAATACAGTGCAGTTCCATAATTTTATCCAATTTACCTGGACAAAAAATGGAGTACGGAGACTGGAAGAAGCCTTTTGTAGGAAGCGCAAAATCAATTTACCATGGTCTTCAGTTATGGAATCTGCTCTAGTTTGTCCAGATATTTGTCGCAGGATGCAGATCAGATACTGAGTAAATGCTCGTCGAGCTTGGTGCTGGCTGAAGTGCAATTACATCATCATTAAATAAACTCACTTCTTCAGACAAGGTACTGAAGGTAGGGGTTATTTTCTATCATGCTAGTGTAATCACTAGTGTGGCTACTAAGACCATTGCTTATTTGTTTCTTTACTTGCTCAATACGGTTTTATCAAATGCATATTTTATATTGCATTGTGCATATCAATTGTACTTAACTTTGCTTTTGCTTGTACCTCAATTTTGAGGAATTATGAGCACACCCATCACAGGTTATAAAAAGATATCTCAGTGCTGTCTCAGTCTCAGTCCACCAGTGAGATTCATTCCATCTATGATGATCAGTCTGTCTAGAGTGATTAGTACTAGCAGTTGTTCTCAGTCCAGCTTAATTTAAAGAGTCAGCTGACATTAATCAGGTAATGTCAGTTAAGACATCAGTTATAAGCTGTAAGCCTGTGGTGAGAACATCATGCATTATATGTGTGAATAATTCAGTACTGTCTATGAAAAGCATACATCTTAGAAGCATACAAATCATAAAACACATACACAGTATCAGATGATTATAACTGATGAACAGGGAAGCATAAGGGATGAATGACTATTTTAAGGTACTAGTTTAGCGTCTATCTGGAGGAAATTAGGAAAATCATAGATAACTTTGGTGAAGACAGTCAATCTCATAGCCAAGATCCATTCTGGGGTCTCCTAATTATGAAACATATGTAACAACTGCTTTAAAATATCTGGTAACTAAAACTGATGCGAATGCACATGAGAAAAACAATGAAGCTAATTTCACTGGCAGGCTTCTCGTTTATGAAATGGACTACTTTTCCAGGAAATTTTAAATGCAACTCAAATGGCATGGTTAACTATGAATCCTTACTTTGGAATTATGACACGTAAATATATTACTTCATAATCAGGCATGCAGACTAAATATTAAGTTACTTCAAGTGACTACTGTTTCTTTTGAACTAACAAACTGTTAACAAATGGCACACACATTTAAATTCATACATAATATGGCTGATTTACTACAAATAGTAAGAGGTTTTAAACTGCAATATTTTAATGAAGAACAAATCTGCTATTGATCTTACAAACTGATATAATTATGTAACTGATCTCTTCAATAGGAAACAGGTTTGCTAATACTACTCCCCAATCATTTTACTGTAACTGTTGAAAGCATGTGAACTAATTCCAGATTTCACAGTGGGGAGAAGAAGAGATCACACAGATAAACTATATCAATGTCCTGTAAATGATAAGCACTTCCCCTATCCTTCTGTAACAAATATGAGTCCACTCAGACCAAGCAGCAGGTCTCTTTGCCTCCCCTAACCATACATAAAGCCAATGACACCACGCAATATATGCAAGTTTGTCACTATGTCACAGAAGACTTTTAAAATATACAGCATTACCTGAGTCGACTGCCATCCTCCATAGCTTGAATTACTTCATTCTTCAGTTCTGTTGCCTCCTTTCTCTCCTCAGCAACAACTGACTCATCACTTTCTGCAGCAAAGGTGGGTACAGTTTACACAACTACAAAAGGTTTGAATAATCACCACCCTAACTACTGAAAATATAAAGTGTTCTTTCAAAGTCTACCAGGAAATAAAAGTACACTTTAAAAGACAATGCATTAGGAATGTTCGTCCATTGTACATCCTCTTCAGTATTTATTTGATTCATTTACTGATTTCCACTTTGATAATCCATTTGCAATTGGTCAAAAATAACTAATTGATGAGCCAGTACACTCTCCAAGCAAAACAACTAGAAAGACCATCAGTCATACTGTTAAGTATGGTGTGTTGCACCATATCAAGGCTGCATAACTTTATTAAAGAAAAGCATTATAACACAACAATAGATGTCATTCACTTAACTCATTTTCAAGCAATCTAACCCTCTTAAGACCTAAGGGTTAATAATGATGGTATATTAATGGAATGACTGACTGCTTGGACATTATCCATCAAACTATTCTTAACAATATTTTGGGGACTGGACTCTGCCTCTGTTCTCAGGTTAAATGCCTAATTAGTTGGGCCTAATCGATAGAGCTAGCCCCTATCCCTGGACACCAGAACCAACATGAGGCAGGCTACATAAACCAAACACAATATACACCATCTGCAGGAGGTCAGATGAAAATTTCAAATGTCACATACATGAGATTTTGCACATATGGCTCTGCATAATGCAATGGCTAGAGCCCATGAAACCAGAGTCAAACTAAAACAGAAGCTGAAGCCATCAGACTTCAATTATAAAAAGAATAACAGAATTCATAACACCTATAGTTGTCCATGATATGTATATAGTGGCTGACTTGTAGTGCACTCAATTTCACCTGTTGCTTGCAAGCAATGCAACAGATTAGTGTAATTAGGGCACCTGATGAGGGCACTATGTTGCCGAAACATGTCGTGAAGTAACAGGTGAAATTGAGCGCACTACAAGACGGCCACTATATACATATCACGGATGAAAATCAGTGCAACAGGACGCTAAAATACAACATAACACACTGTTATAAAATGTGACTAGACATGGTGATTTCCAATGGTCACGAAACCAAGTCTGATCATAACTAATATTACTGCCAGTTGCACAGAGAAGTTCCTTCTAAATGTCACTAACTTTTACCACCTTAACACAGTGTGATACACAAAGATTATTCAATGAGTATGGACTACCATGAAAAACTCAAATCTAAATCATACATTCTTTCAAAATTGATGTACAAATTATTGGTGGAATTTCCTGTTTTTCTGACTGCTGCATTCCAACCACATTCAGAAAACTTCCTCTATATCTGTCACATTTCACTCATTCCACATACCAGATTTGTTGAGATGTCTTTCATCTAAACTGTTCTTGTGGCCTTGCAAAAGAGCTCTCTCATAACGAGTAAGGCGATCTGGAAGTGGAGAGCTCACAGCTTTACAAGCTGATTGTAGCTCAGGAAACAGCTGCTGATGAATAAGCAGATTGTAGTTGTGGAGCACCATCACAGGCGGGGCACACAACTGGGCACCAGAAACTACTGAAGTACATGTAATTCCAGTCACTGGATCTACAGTTCAAATGAAGATACCAAATAGAAAAGTGAGAATCTGTTACTTCAGTGAATACACTCTATCTCTGCCTACAAATAAATCACAATTGTTTGTATTTCTTCCATTTACTGAATCATAATTTAGTTCTTTCTGTATGTATTTCTTTTTACTTTAGTCTAATCTGACACAAACCTTGATATTTCTCTGAACTCTAATGTCCATCATTTTCTACTCAATATTTATAAATATACTGACATGAAATTTGAACATAATAAGGCGCAGAGCTATATAATGCTCATCATGAACATTAAACAATATTGAAAGGTATATGACAATCTGGAGTTCTTAAACTGCATTCTTCACAGCTTCATGTACTTCTCTGGAATGGTGTTTGCTTATTCCCTGATGCAATTATTATAGTGAGAAAATTAAAATGTATTTTTCATTCACATTATAAATATAATCCCACATATTTAATTCCATGTCACCTCTCTGGGAAAGGTGAACTCCTATTTTAAGAAACTTTCCATTTATCATTTGGTTACTCTATCGTATCACATTCAAGCAAGGCATTCGGAATCAATATTACAATTACATGCATCAGGCAAAGGTAATGGTGTCTCTGTGCTTAACGGCACAATGCCATAAAGATGTATCAGGGAGTAAAGGCACAACTATATTCATTCTTAACTTTGGCACTAGATGGAGGTGAATGGTCAGCCTCATCTACCTGTGCTTTACTTCAGGGTAATAACTCTGGTACCCACTGGATAGGAGGCTGGGTGGGCTCCAGAGCTGGTATGGATGTTATGGAGAAGACAAAAATCGCCTTCCCTGGTGGCATGAATTGAATCCTGATTCCTCATTTGTCCAGACCATAGGATAGTCACTGTACTGTATATTTTACATATATATATATGTGTGTGTGTGTGTGTGTGTGTATAGATAAAATGAAAGTTATCTTTTGAATGAAACATACCATCAAAATCAGTATTGTAGCCAATAACTAATGAATTTCAACAGAAAGAAAAACATGAATATCAAGAATCAGTTGCCTCTATAGATATGAACCTACTGCTGCAAAGTTACCCTCACTACTTGGAACAAGATTATAATTTGCTTGTATCTTGTTAAATATTCAAAACGTGCCTCTCTTCCAAAGAGTTCCTTCAGTGTAGATCTCTTTGTATCAAATTTATCAAAACTAAACCAGCAGCTTCAGAAATGCAATGTGTGTGGACAGACATTACCTCCCAGTACATATTCTCTTTATGCAGTTAGTATAAAAACCTCATGAAAATATGCGGAAACAAAAGTAGAATATATTTAATGTACAACACAATGCAGACTGGAAAAGAAATTAATATTGTGCCTTCCAACTGTGAACAAAAGATTGGTGGCAATATCACAGCAGACATCCATTCATTCACAGTATAGAAGAGAAAATCACAGACTTCCATTAAGAAAGAATTAAGTCTGAATTTAATCTATGGCAGTTTTATGTGATTTCCCTCAGTCCCTCCACATATATGTTGAGAACTGCAATGGAGAAGATCAACATCTCTTTTCAGTCACTTACTTATATTGTGACATGAAAGCTAAAAGGGGCATCCATTGCTTTGTTACAGTACTTTAGATGTGAGAGTGACATGGAGACACCATATCAAAAGGGCTGTAGCCAAGGCCTTGTGTACATATGTAAGAAACTTTTCTCTTACAAGTATGATGTTTTTGGACATTATCCATCATCTTGTCTTTTTTTTTTTAACCAACCTGTTTCTTTTTCAAAACACAACGTTTTGGAGACTGGATTCTGTCCCCAATACCTCATACAGGAAATACAAGGAATCAGCCCACATGTCTCTGCTGGACCATCCGATCAGTCAACCCAGTGTGGATATCTCTCCCATCTGGACCCCTGCCATCACAGCAAAAGTCAAGAGCCTACAGCGCTGTCAAGTGTAGCTGGAGTGGGTAACTATTTATTTTGTGTGTTGGCACCAAAAGGAGTATGGCTTCTCTCCAGGTATGATTTCATTTGAAATACTTCTTTGGTGCAATGCCTCGTATGTGTGGACCTTCAATAGTTGAATATTTTCTTAGCTCTCACAGATGGTTTATGTTGTGCTTGGTTTATGAGCCCTTTCTAAAACTGGCATACGTGTACGGAGATTGGGGCTATCTCTATCTATTGGACCCAACTGAGTAGGTTTTTCCTGAGGATGAGGACAGAATCCAGTCTCTGAATCGTTGCGTTTTGAAAAAGAAACAGGAAGGTTTAAAAAAAAGAAGACAAAATGTTGGATAATGTACAAAAACATAATACTTTAAGCAATATACCAGCAGCACAAGCTTTTAGATCTAACTTTTATCTTTTCAAAAGTGGGCATTTAAGTATAAATATTAAACTTACTCTTTACAAAGCTCTGATTAGATCAGTTATGACTTATGCCTGCCTCACCTGACTGTATGCAACGGACGCTCACCTCTTGAAATTGCAGCGCCTGCAGGACCGAGTACTCCACACTATTGGATATCTTGACAAGTTCATATCAGTCCATGAATTACATGAGGCTTTCAAAATTTCTTACATGTATGACTATATAACTAAATCATGCAGGACACAGGCATAAGTAATCCCAAAACCATGTAAACCTAAATGTACCTGGTACTGGACAAGAAGTCAGGCATAGGAAGTATATAAGAGGCTCAACTTTGGCAGCAGTAAGGTCTACAATCGTTCAGCTGATTAACTGCAGTTTCAGAATAGACGCATAAGTTAAAGCATAACCTGCTGAACAATCTTGCATTGACAGAAGACCTCTGTACCTGTGTTAATGTTACTTAGTATAGTCCAGTGACAAAAGGCGCACACAGTCCATAGTGACCTGGATGCCGTGACAGCATGGATACACTTATGCTGCAACTACAGTGCAACAAGTGTAGCGCCTGCATAGAAAGACCTACCCTTCTCTCATTGAAAGGGGGTACGCCCCATTTCTATATATATATATGTGTGTGTGTGTGTGTGTGTGTATGTGTCTAGGAGAGCAAAAATCTTGGAAATGGGTCTCGAAGAGGTTGAAGCCAGGAATGACCGTGCTGCTGAAGGCAAGTAGCAATTCAACCAGCTGACCAACCGATTGAGCAAAGCATACTGTCACGTGTAGGGTGGTATGCGTGACAAGAATGACGGGTTCTAGTTTGGATGATTGGACTTATTAGCAGCTTGGTTAAATCGTAAAGACTGTATTATTATTTAGGGTCGTTCAAATGATATAAACAAAAATGAGACCTCCAAGGGTTTAAAACATATTATGAATTTTACAATGCAGAATCAACACACAAATACTATAATTATCCCTGCTTTGCATAGACCTGATTTGGTGAAATATTCGTGTATCAACAATAAAATTCAGGGTTTTAATAGAAAACTAAGTTCAATGACAAAAGCCTTGCCGGACGTGGTAATGCTTGATATGACCTTGGACAGAAAAGATTTTACACAACATGGGTTGCATTTAAATTCGATAGGGAAAGAAAAAGTTGCTTTGCTCATTGGGCAGCAATTAAAAAATCTGCTAACCAAACAGGAAAATATCATCCTTTCGCTTCCACGGATTGATGATAAAAATGACTCAATTTCTCTGATGGAAAAAGATGGCTCTGATGTTATGTTGTCATTAGAATGGTTTCCAAATAAAGTTAGAGCATCGGGTAGATCCAAAAAGCCACCAGTAACAAGAACAGATGATTTTTAATGGTTAATCAAATGAAAAACATCAAAGTGAAAACACGAAAATTAAGTTCCAGAAGAGTCTCAATAAAAAATTCCACTAAAGTCAATAAAGAAAACAGTACCTAGTGTATTAAACCAAAATTTGTGTCAGTTGACTGACTGACAGGAAATTAAATCACTATTCAGAGTAAACCTAATCCAAAACATGGCACTCTATGCATTGAAAATCATTATAACAATTATAACATTATATCTCATCAAAATATACGAGGTTTATGTAATAAATCTAATGAAATTTTATGTCATTTTGTATCTGAATCTCCTCATTTATTGTGTTTTACTGAACATCATTTATCAATGTCTGAAATTCAATCTATGCATATTGATAGTTATTCTCTTGGTGCACAATTTTGTAGAAATCAGATGCGGAAGGGTGGTGTGTGCATATTTGTCAAAAATGTCATAAACTACTCCACTCTAAACTTGGAAACTTACAATACCGACAAAGATCTTGAGATTTGTGCTATTCAATTAAATATTTTGAATAGAAAATTCTGTATTTTAACTATATACAGGTCACCAACTGGAAATTTTTCCAAATTTCTGATGGATTTAGAGCTGATTTTAAAGTTAATTTATAATTCCAAAGTTGATTTAATCATTTGTGGAGATTTTAATATAAATTGTTTGGAAGAAACAAGTAGGGTGAGACAATTAAAAGCCCTTTTTGAAACATTTAATCTAATAAATATTGTCACTTTTCCCACTAGAATATGTGCTAGCATTAGTACTGCTACTGATAATATCTTTATAGATATTTCCAAATATGATTATCATTGTCTCGTCTCTACATAATGGATTATCAGATCATGAAGCCCAATTACTCAAAATAGTGCTTCTGTTAAAAGATAAAAAAGATTTTCAGACATACTCCCATATAAAAATCGATGATTTTACAGCTGCAGAATTGTTGTTACAACTATGTTATGAAACTTAGGATGAAATTTTTGAGGAGGAGGATGTAAGTCTTTTATTTAACTCCTTCTTAAATACTTATTTGAGAATCTTTAATGCAAGTTCCCCCCCCCCCTCAAAAATATACACTACATTAAAGAAAAATATATCACTTGGATTACTCAAGGTATGAAAACATCTTGTAAACGTAAAAGGGAGCTATACATAATGATGAAAAAATGTAAATACATCCATTAAATCATATTATGATAAATATTGCAAGGTAATAAAAAGGTTACAACTGCAGCAAAAAAAATGGCATATGATAATTTTTGTACTAAACACATGATAAGATGAAATCTACCTGGAAAATTATAAATACAGAAACAGGTAGATCTACTAAACAAGATGATGCCAATTATTTAACTGATAAATCCTGTAATCAGAATGTTGCAGAAACTATAAATGAATATTTCCTATCATTAGCGGATACTCTGGCAAACTCAGTAACAAATAGCCTTGGTAGTTTACCTGAAATGAACTACTTGTCATGGAACAGGCAATAAAATTTAAATTTCCAAAAATTTGTAATAAACCAGTTACTACTGAAGAAATGAAAAATCATTTACTCTTTTAAAACTAAAGACTCCTGTGGCTATGACCTGATATCTTTGAGGGTCTTAAAAATGAGTACACCCTTTATAAGTTCGCCCCTTAATCATATATGTAATAAAATTATAAGATTTGGTGTTTTCCTAGAGAGACTAAAATACTCAATAATAAAGCCACTTTATAAAAAAGGGGATACAAAATTAATATCAAATTACAGACCTGTTTCTCTACTAACATCATTTTCTAAAATAGTTGAGAAAGTTATATTTAACAGACTGATGAATCATTTGAATAAGTATGCTATTCTTAGTCCAAGTCAATATGGCTTTCAAAAACATTTCTTCACAGATAATGCTGTTTATGCTTTATTGAATGAGGTTTTAACTGCCTTAAATAATAAATCTAGAGTCAAGGGAATTTTTTGTGATATTGAAAAACCGTTTGACTGTGTAAATCATGATATTCTTCTTCATAAACTATAAATATATGGAGTTACAGGTTCAACCAATAAATTATTTTCACAATTTTTAAGTAATAGATACCAGCGTATAAATTTAAAAGATAAATCAAGTGGTCAGATCTTAACATCAAACTGGTCTAAAATAAAACATGGTGTACCTAAGGTTCAGTCCTGGGACCTTTGTTATTTTTGCTATATATAAATGATTTCCCAGTGGTCATTAATAAGTTATCTATGCCTTTTTTATTTGTGGATAATACTAGTCTAATAATTACAGACAGAAACACAGATAATATAAACGCTAAATTAAATATGAATTTTCAAATAGTGCACAAATGGTTTAAATCAAATTTGTTATCTATTAATTTTTTAAAATCCAATTGTATGCAATTTAAAACAAAAAACACTGTATCAACTGATACTATATTGACCTGTAATAATAATGTTATAACTGAAGTTTCCCATATTAAATTTCTAGGTTTAATAATAGATGATACATTGACTTGGAATTTGCACACAGATAAGCTTATGAAGGGACTGACCAGAGTATTATAAGATTAGAGCAGTTAAATCCTATATGTCCTCTACTTCATTTACAATGATCTATTATTCTTCATTTCATTCTGTTTTAGCTTATGATATTTTATTTTGGGGTTTATCGTCAAACAGCGATAAACTCTTTAAGCTGCAAAAAAGAGTTGTACATATAATGACAGGTCATGGAAATAGGACTTCATGTAGGGCTCTTTTTTAAAAAATTGGAAATATTACCACTGAAATCATAATATATTTTTTCTATTTTATTATTTGCTGTAAAGAATAAAAAAACTTTTTATTACAAATCATGATAGCCATAATGTGAAGACTAGACAAGGTGAAAATCTTCATTTTCCTCTTTCAAGATTAACTATATATCAAAACGGCATATATTTTACCGGTATTAAAATTTTCAATAAATTACCTGATCTTAAAGAGTTGACTGGGTCACCTAAAAATTTAAGAGAATCTTAAAAAATATCTGGTTTCTCATTGTTTTTATAATTTGGAGGAGTTTCATGATATTAATTTTTAACTGTTTTGTAATCTTTGTGGTCTATATGAAATATTATGTATATATGATCTTTTGCCTTTTATGTTTAACTTTTTCTTGCATTAATTGTAACATGTTACTTTGCATAGTTGTGAAATTTTTGTTAGACAATGTGCCATATTGCACAGCTGATCTCATATATTTTTACTAATTTGATTTGTTTCATTCTGGTCTGTCACACTATTTATTACAGAGTGGATAATTTTCAGTCCAGTGTGACATAAAGACTGAAGTGTTGTAAACTTGTATGTCACACAGGACTGAAAATTATCCACTCTGTCATGTATTTGTTGGACAAGTACTATTTTGCAAGGCCGACTGTATTATTGACGGTAACTACATCCGCTGAAATTGTAATTTCTTATGGATCTATGGTGGACTAATAAATACAAAATACAATACAATACTCTCTTTTAATTACACTCATAAATTACAGGCAATACAGTGCCGTTGCTGATTTACACACAATTCATAATCCACTGTTACACATAAACACTAGTCCTCTCCTGTAAGTAAGTAAAAGTAAACGTATCCCTGTAATACTATTACAATACTATTTGCGCTTTAATTAAATAAATTAATATTGTCATGTACCAGAAGCTGACATGTCCCATTCAACTCCAGTTCCTCCTGTTTTCTTGGACACTCCCAGTGGCATGTTAGAAAGCAAAGTTGAAAATCAACGGCAACAAAAAATCTCCTTGTTTCAGACTATTCTAAATTTGAATGAGAGACCACATATGTACTTATTTCATGCAATATTTGAATATTCATCCTTTATGGTGCAATGCTGAAGAGAAGTCAATAGAGCAACACTGTACATGGAAAAATAAACACTAGTAAATGGTGAAATTAAAGGAAAACTTTACCTTCTAAATGTAATGGTAGGGGAACAAAGTAAATGATCATTGAAAACTTTTATCATGTTTACCTAGGAAACATCCATAACGTTTCCAGCTTTCAGCTGATGGGAATATTCGCACAAATCCACCCCTTCGCTCAAATTCTGCACGAACTGACTTGATGATGCGGTTTTCTTCAGGAGAGAGTGAAAGGGAACTAGCAACCAACCGTGAGGATGTGACTACTGTAGGTGGCTTCCTTCCAATACTATTGCTGCTACCAGCCAGAGCATCAGCAGACTGGACACGTCGATACTGCACAGAACGTCCATGATATCATACTTCGTAATTCTGAAATTTCATCACTTTTTTGAACCAGCAGATATTTGATCTCTAACCAATATATCATAAAAAATACAGATTAAGAACTAACTAAACTAATTTAAAAACCAACTAACAAACTAACCAGCTAACTAACTATACAGTCTGTCTTTCTTGTAGAGTTGCTAGCTCCCAATCTAGTCAAAAAATGTGTTGGTTTAATGTACCCTTCATCACCATGTTCATAAAAACCTATCACTGTATCCTATCCAGAGTCAACTGATGCAAATCATACATTTCAGTATTATCCTTGCATTTATGGCTAAGTCTTTCATGTGATCTCTTTGTTAGGGTTTTCTGACCATAATTTTGTATGCACTCCTCATCTCTTACAAGTAAACTACATGTTCCAACCATCTTGTCCTTGATTTAATCACCCTACAAATACTGAGAACTGTACAACTTTTCTCTGTCAGTTCGTTATTTCTTTCCTCTTTCATTGAAATATTCTTCTCAGCACTTTATTCTCAGATACCATCAAGAATGGCATATATGCTTTGATAAAACTTTATTTTAATATTTGATTATGCTGAAATATTCAATGGATAACAAATATGAAATTTTTAACACATACTTAATAAAAAAATATATAAACTGAATATATATGTAGGCAAAATCTTAAATTCTGCAATATTAACAAGAATGCTGAGTGGTTTTGACTGTAAGTAGGATGACTTTCACCTTTCCATCCGGGTAATTTTCATCTTATGTTATGATTTCTGAGAGGACACCTAATTCCATTTACGAGTATTTACTTGTTGTTCATTTAACAGTGCTGTCAGTGTTTCGGACTATATGGCAACTTGACATGATGATGATGAACTGGATAGGGCATGAAAGGTCATCAATCTGGACAAATTTGAGGTACTATCCCAGTTTTTCCAGGAGGGACTGTGAACAACCACAAAAACCAATAGCCAGGATAGTGGTGTTCCAGCCAAGCATCAGATCACCAGTCCAAAGCATTATGTAGTGGTATCTCCTTTCCACAAAATCAGTTCAGGGATAGTGTTATGGTACACAGTTAAAGAGGTTTCATGGAGGTTCCATTATACTTGCATAGTTTAAGCATGACTGAACTGTTCACAGGAAGATTCCACAATATAATTCTCAATCGCCATGAATCTGGTTTCCCAGTATAAAGTTTCACATAACTAGTACTTAGGGTCTTATTTAGGGATGCAAATCATCGTGTCCAACCCTTGCCTTCAACAGAAGTGGAAAATTATACTCCAGTGAGTACAGAGCTTTGCTATGCTGTGTATGTCACTGACCTTCACATGCATGTTACAAATAACTGTCACAAAGCTAATCACACTATAGGAAATACAATACAGTCAGAAATACTTTCCCTTTCATGTCAATAAACAAACACAATACCAAAAAAAATGTTTCAGGTTAAAGTTATGGACCTTGACATTTGTCATCCGGGGACAAGGAACTGAAAGCTCCTGCAAGTAAAGTGCTGGCCTCTAGGACCCCTGCATGCACTAATAAAATTGTGTGGAACACACAGCAGCAGATAATGAGGTCTGTATTTTATGTCATGCATAATATGTTCCAAAATTGGCATTTTTTGAGAAAATTTGTAACTTTAATTTGTGTTTTATATACACTATGTGATACATTTGACTGATATGAACCAAAACTAGATATGTAAGATTTGAGGCTTTCACGGCGGTGACTATGAAGAAAGCGGTCTTCTGGGATTTGGCACCATGTATATGTGGTGCCACGGTGCCAAATCCCAGAAGACTGCTTTCTTCAAAACTAGATATGTTCAATTTTAAGAAGTCATTTAAAATCAGATCTCACAAAAATCCAGTCAACAGTTTCAGAGATGAAACATGAGGTCAGATGGATGAACAGATGTACACATCTGACATCCCTGACATGCAGTTTATTCATGCACTCTGAACAAAGAAAATATACAAAAAAAGTTAGCATGTAATGAAGGAAGTCCCTCACCCCATGCCACTGGTGTAAGGTCTTCTCTGAGTTCCTTCAATTCTCCCCTGCTACTTGTCATATCACCATTGATCCATGCTTATCTATCACTGCTCCCTGAATAGTACAACAGCCTTAACCAGGAAACACATTATCATATTTTCATTCTTTAACTTGGGGGGCTTTATCTCTGACCTGGCACTTGGCTGGTTACAAGTGTTAAGCCCACATTTAATTCCCCCATCCCAGCCACGTCCAAATATAAACCTCTGAAAATAAAATAGCTGTATGTTATTAACTAACTGAAGCAATAAACAATACAATTACAATGTTTCAAGATCAAACTCAATATTGTCATAACATTTTAATACGTGTACCTGCATTAGTCACCATCTTCCTCAGAAAATACCATTATTATGCACCCAAAGAACACAATATAACTGCAGCAATAAACTACTGAGAAAGGGTAAATAAACTGTGGGGTCGTTATTAATGTTCACCACACGCACTTGCTATTTGCCTGTTCTCACTGATCCGCCCTCATCATTCGTTCATTTTGTTGAGAAGTTAGTCGAAGTCCTTGCAGCCAGGGGGGGAGTAGTCAATGCTGGCTGCAGCGAGGCTGGTTGGCTAGACCAGTAGGTGCTGATAACCGATGGTTGAACTGGCTGTGGCCCGGCTACTCGTAGACTCGCTGCTGCGGTGTTTTCTTGCTGCAGGCATAGCTCTGACTGGGCTGTTGTCTCGGAATGAACTGCTCGTACCGTTGGCTCCCGGTCTTAAATACTGCTGGCCGGGAGGTGGAGCTAACATTGCAGTTGTCATAGCGCGTATCCATTGGCCGTGTACGGAAAGGTGGGGCCACAGGCAAGTTTATAAATATGGGTGCAGCTTTGCAGTTAGTACATAAGCTGGAGGAGCTGGAATGTGTATAAATACTGCGTCGCTCTGGTCACAGCTCCTGTTTGGCACCGTCTGAAAGAGGTGATGATTGTCTGCCAGACGCTGTGGGATTGTTCCCACAAAACTATCAAGACATGCAACATATTTAAAGGTAAATGAAGTGAAATTCTTTACCTCACCATGTGTACAAAAAAATCATAGATCAAAGAAATTAGCTAGAAGCATTAACCACAAGCAAACATTAAATGCTAACTTACATTAAGTTTCTTCAGAATATCTAGTTGACTTTGAGGTCGGCGAGTTTCATTGGCACGACGAAGCATTGGATCTACAGTAGGCAAACCAACTAGAGTCAGGAGATCAACCAACATTGCTGATTTGACTCTGACATCCAGAGGTGAGTCACAGCCAAGGGATGGCGAAAGATTCACTTCTAGCAGCCATGGTTTCAGGTCTGAGTCAATCAAAATGTCGAAACCATACAGTTCTGCATTTAGAAAGAGAGGGAGATATCAACTGGATAAATAACAAAATAGATATTATGGCAGGGGTAAAACAGATTAAATATTCAAAGAAGAGAGAATATAATATAAATGAGGAGCTTCATAACTTGTATTTTTCATATAAGACAATTTAACATATACAGACATGAAGAAGATAGCATTCAAATGGAGTTAGGAGAAACAGGTTGAGAAGATGTAAACTGGATTCAACTGGTCCAGGCTACATTCCTCAAGTGAGCAATGGTACTGAGCTCTGGGTTCCATAAAAAAGGAATTCTTTTACTACTTCAATATATACACGCTACTATGGGAGTAGTCTACTGTTAACAGAACTGATGAATCCTGTTTCCTTATATACCTGCTAACAAGACAGAAAATGATAAACTACAAACTATAAAGCAAGAAGCAGGGTGATCAGACATCATAAAACACAAACGCATTTGGACCCCTGTCTTCACAGCAGAAGTCAAGAGACTACAGCGCTGTCAAGTGTAGCTGGAGTGGGTAACTATTTGTTTTGTGTGTTGGCACCAAAAGAAGTATTGCTTCTCTCCAGGTATGATTTCATTCAAGATACTTCTCTGGTGCAAGGCCTCATACTTGTATGTATGTAGCTTCATTATTTCTTAGCTCTCACAGATGGTTTGTGTTGTGCTTGGATTATGAACCCCTTCTGAAACTGGCATACGTGCACGGAGATTGGGGCTAGCTCTGTCTTTTGGACCTAACTGAGTAGGTTTTACCTGAGAACGGGGACAGAATCCAGTCCCCGAAACGTTGTGTTTTTTAAAAGAAACAGGATGGTTTTTTAAGAACAGACAAGATGATGGATAATGTCCAACAACATATTAATTGTAATAATTTACCATCGTTTCAAACTTTTAGATCTTAGGAACAACAGAGTTGGATAAAGATTGAATGTGCCAGAGGCCATACAGAATGACAGCGTACTCAAGGTCTTCAAGAGGCTTCTGGGGAATCTGCATTGCCTTAAATAACAGTGGCAAGGTGGGTAAAAGCCTTCAACGAGGGACGCCAAATGTGGCAGACATGCATCAGCCAGGTCATCCTAGTGTCAGTGAAGAAGAAGTGTATGCTCTTTCTGCATTACTGGAGAGTGATCGATACCATATGATTCATGAGCTGGCCTAAGAGGCAGGATTAGAGCACACGACTGTGCTTCACATTCTAAAGGAACGCCTGGGCATGACAGAAATTAATCACAATGGGTTCCGCATGATTTGACGGAAATGCAGAAATGGCTACGATATGATGCTGCTCGTAACCACTTGGAGCAGTATGAGCGTGAAGGAGATGCTTTCTTACGCCGTATCATTACACTGGATGAGACATGGGTGAAATCGTACAAGCCACAAATGAAATGCCAATGGAACGAATGGCGTCATTACAGGTCACCACGAAAATCAAAAGTTTGTCAGAACCACAGCAATGTGAAAGTTATGGTAATTCTCATGTACAACTGTGATGGTGTTATCCTAACGCAAACTGTTCCCCAACAGCAGACTGTCAATGTGCAGTATTATTGTTCATTTTTTGAACACAACCTGCGACCAGCTTTGAGAAAGAAACGGCGATACTTTCTGCAGAAGTCACCCATCAGTTTGCATGACAGTGCTCGGCCGCATGCAGCGCAAGGTGTGGCTGATCTGTTCAATCGATGGAGCTTGGAGGAGCTGTACCATCCACCATACTCCCCAGATTTAAGCCCTTGTGACTTCGACTTTATTCCTAAGATGAAGGAACCACTTCGTGGCATTCGCTTCAGAACTGTTCAAGAGATTCTTCAGGCAGCAGACCGCTCCGTTCGAACTATCAACACAACAGGCACTGCTCAATGCATCCTACGACTTCCACATTGCTGGCAATGGGTTGTACACAATGCTGGTGACTACAATGAAGGACAGTAAAACTTTGAAACATGCATCTATTTTGTATCAGTTGTAAATAAATAGTTGCCACTTCCAACTTTCATATATCAACAAAGAACAATTAGGAGCAACCTTTGCCCATAAACAGAGAAACCTGAAACCCCATTCATGATGATAAACAGGATGAAAAGAATAAAATTAATGCAAGCAACAACACATTTCCACCAGTTCATAAAGGCAAAGGTAAAGGTGTCTATGTGCTTAATTAAGCACCAAGCCATGAATACTTATGGTGGGGAGGTAGAGGTACAGTTTCATGCATTCTTAACCTCAGTACTACAGGGTGGTGCATGAAATGATCCAGTATTTAATTTAGTATTAATTATTCAACCATGTTTTGTAACATGGTAACACAGTAGATCATGGAGATTAGTTCTTACTATTCCCAAGAGCGCTAGCATCGTGCTGTTCCTGCTCATGTGCCAATTTACACAAGATGGTTGAAAAAGAAAAAATGTCTGTAGAACAACACATAAAAAAAGCTTTGTTCTTTACTGAAACAAGAAGTATTGTGGTCACACAGAGGTGCTCTCATGCCCATCTTCAAATGCAGTAGGCACTCTCACATTCAAAACAATTCATAAACATTGTAACCTGTATAATGATGGTTCAATGTTGGAGAGGACATGTTGCCTGCCTTCTACTGTGACTTCTCTGGAGAACATTGGCGCTGTCTGAGTGGCACTGCAAAGAAGCCCCAGTAACTCAACAATGAAGGATGCAGCACAACTAGGGATATCCAGACTATTGGTGAAATGAATATTGGAAAGTGATTTGAATTTGTATTCATATAAAATAACAATGTTGCCTAAACTTACAGTTCAAAACAAACATAAAAGAATGGCACTTGCTGAATGGGTTCAGAATAATGATAAATCGTTCAACAATGTTTGATTTTCTCACAAGGCACACTTCCACTTGGTTGGTGTGGTTAATAAACAAAATGCGCAGATGATTTTTGGCATCAGAGAATCCACATGTGATTCATGAGAAAGTGCATCATACTCCAAGAATTACAGTCTGGGTCGCCATCTCAAGTCATGGACCTCTAATGCCAGTTTTCTTGAAGAGACATTGTGATTTAAGCATGTTATGCAATACTTCTTGTGCCTCACCTTCTTGCTACAGGTTTCCCGATACAAGTTCATTGGTTCATGCAGGACGCAGCTAGGCTGTACACAGCGAATGTTGTTTTGGACTTTCTGCATGATACTTTCAACTTGTGTATCATCTCAAACCGATTTCCTGATCATTTCACATGTGGACAGAACTGGCCCCCAAACGGTCCTCATTTAAACCTATGTGACTACAATCTCTAGTGATTCCTTGAGGAAGAGGTTTTTCCAAAAGAAAAAAAAAAGCTGCAAACAATAAAGAAACTGAGAGCACTAATCATTCAGACCTGCAACGAGATAACTGAGGATACGTGCTGTCGAGTAATCAACAACATCATAGTTCATGTAGAAGTTTCCAGATGTAATGGTGGTCATATTGAACACTTGACACATGAAAGATAAATCTCCATGCAATGGTCTGTCATTTTATATGTTAGTTTCTAATATTGTAATTGAAATAAAGATGTTATTAATAGATCAAACGCTGGATTATTTCATGCACCACCCTGTGATGGAGGTTAGTCAGCTTCATGCCCCAGATGCTATACCCCCAGGGCAAGAAACCCTGGTGTTCATTTCACAGAAGGCTGAGTGGGCCCCAGAGCCAATAAATATGCTGTGGACATGGGAATAATTTCTTGTCTCAGTCAGGAATGAAACCATAATTTCTTGGATGTCCAGCTGACAACCTAGTTGATATACCAAATGCTCCCTCCTGGCCAGCCTGATGGTGTATTGGTGAACATACCAGACTGTACATGAGATTCAGAATTAGAGACATGAATAGACAGATTACAGCTAAACTCTTGAGAGACAAGAGTCTCACTCACCAAAACAATTGCGAGGGTGAGGTACAAACATGCGACAAGCAGATATAATGGGTGGAGCAGATGCTAGGATAGCCTTCACCACTACCTCTTCTATCCTTTGCATCAAGAAGGAGGTGTCTGTTCCCTGTGCACGTAAGTGTCGCAACAGTGCACTCAGAGTCCACTTGTGGCCTACATCTTCTGCATCTGGATCCTCACTCCTATAACAACAAGAGTATAATTTCTTTCAGCATCAAATCTGTACTTTCATTAACTTGCATAACATACTAATCACTAGAGAGCATATTCCTGTTTATTTAAGGGCAAATTATCCAGTTCAGACAAACTAATATGGCTTAAAGAGACACCTTAATTATAACTATGAAGATTATTAGTTTATTTAACTTCAAGACTTCTTATAATTTGTGGCTTAACTGCATGCCTTTTATTAGGCATGCACATGTGCAATCCTGAAGAATACCCATTAACCTTTAAACGCTGGACTTTTGAAATGGTGGTAAGCTTAAGCTAGCCGGAGTTTATTTAAATGCCTGCTGATGGTGTGCGTTTAAATGCCTGTTGCTGCTCTGCGTTTAAATTTCCGTTCCTGTTAGGGTGCTTAAACAATTTTAAGCATTGTGTTTAAAAATGCTGTATCTAACACAATTTTCATGATAAATGGATGGAATTAACTTTGTTTATATTAGCGAGGAACATAGTGACGCGTATTATAACATAAGATTTGCAAATTTTTATACAAAGAGTTATACTCTACTTTCATTTTTTTTTTCCTTTTAATTTTGTTCCATACTGTAAAAAAGTTTTCCCAGTTCTTAACAGAGTTGTTCTGCATTATAAAATCAGTCCTACTTGTAACACTTCACATATTTTAGCAATCCCTGGTGTCATAAAATGGAAGCAATAAAATCATTTGGTCTTCTGCTAGCAAGTTTCACATCTTCTGTTACACTCTTCAGATTTTTTAAGCTTCTGACTAAAGGACAGAAGAATGAAAGCATGGCTATTCAAGAAAAAGCTAGAGGGGTACCTTCTTCAGTGCCAAGACCTTCCGTTATTGCTGCAAGAGATTACTGCCCTTTCTATGGGAATGAACAGACAATTGCATTGTGGCTGAGATACAGAGTGTGATCTGTTTTCTGCGCTTTCATAGTGAAATCGAATACTGTAATTTCATTTCAACCTATATACATCAAACAGATAAAAATTTTGGAATTTCTAAATTCATTAATAACCATGGCCTCCTGATTACACCCAAACCTTACTGTTGGATTACCTTTTTTTTTTTTTTTCAATTATTCGTGCATCCTTTCCCTTCACTAGTGCAGATAATTGGGAACATACTGTGTATGTATTGCCTGCTGTCTATGTTGGTAATTTTTACCAATTCAACATGGTGCCATATCCAAGGCTGCACAGTGAATATGGTATGTCATGCAAACTTAAAATCTACTAAAAACATGACAACAGCTTTGATAGTAACATAAGAGCAAATAAAAGTCTGAACAGAACAGATAGCCAGTGACTGGCTTGATTTAGAAAATTGAGTTATTTTAATGATTGAATGGCTTAGAGTCACTGATCCCTACACCTGTGGAGTAAACTGGTTCCAATGAAATTATTATAAACAGTTATTATTATACATCGGTACAGCAACTAGATACCTATAGCACTATCAGCTCTGTAAAGATGGCTAGTGAACAGGCAAGTGATCCAATTCTGCTCACGGAGTCAAACTAAATGACTGATTTGGGTCACCAACAGAGAAACATGAATTATGACATTTCTAATCTACTAGTGAAGGTTGATGCTTCCACTCACAAGTTTTAACTGCTCTGCACTTGAATCATGACCCCATACTCCCTTCGACTTGTTTACAGAATGGTGAATTACTTATTTCAGAATGACTTGATGACATGAGTCACTGAAACAATTCACTTCTCTGTGTTTACCCATCTGTAGTAGAGAATGAGCTAACATAATATGAAACAATCATGACAGCACTTCATCTAACAGACTGGGATAAAGCCTATTAAAATTTGAATGGGAAATTGTTAACAAACAACTTTGTCTAAAATATCTACCTCAATAAATTGGCAAGTTTTGGAAATACTAAAATATACTAAATTAGATAGACTATATAGTGTTGAACAATGGATTGACTAATGAATGACAAATTGGAAATGATTTGAAAAGAAACAGTCATGGCATTTTCCAAGAGGGACCGAGGAAAATCAACAAGACCCCAATTAGGATATCCAGCATCCTGGCTAAGACTCAAACTTAGTACCTTCCAAATATGAGTCTACAGCATTACTGCTATGTCAGCCCATATGGTATTAAGATACTAACCTAACAATGCATTAAGCAGAACTGGTGTCTAGGGTACTATTTCCTGCATGCTTCAGCGAAAATATCTAACCTCTCTTTTCCCTCAATTGGTAACAGAGTGTCATAATGGCAAATTTCTCTAAAACCACTAAAGATCAGAGACACATTTATTTCAATCACAATTTCACACCTACAACAGTTACTGGCTGAGAAGTTTGGCTTCAGATGCAAAGTGCACACCTACAGACACTTTATAAATTCCAACAGCAGCTGCTATTTCGACATCACCATTATATGGCAACATTTTTTCCCATGCATATTTTGTACCATTTTATTAATATAATGCCAAAAATTATTGAACCACTCTAACACATGTAAATCAAACTTAACTGAATATGCATGCTATTAACAACACAAATTTGTTTTTGGCAAAGCTATAAATTGCAATACTGAATAAAGTGTAAGTATCTCGCACTACAACTTGGAAATCGTATCCATAACTACTAACACCAACAACTTCAACACAAGGACAGAATAAAGACAGAACTGCTTGTTGGTGTATTAAGAATCCTATAGTTGTAAAAATAACTCACTTGATATAATCCGAGTGGTACTTGTTAATGCTGTAATTGCACAGATGCATACAAGGATTCCACAAGTGCTTGCCACTTGAGTCATATTTCACGGTTGCAAACCGTACTAGTCCCTCCTCATACATGTACACAATGAGAGGGTCATATGAAGTCACAGCCACATATAACCGCAAATCACATTTATGACCATCCAGCAGCAGAGGATTTTCAATGTATTTTGCGACAACCACTGTCTCTTCAAGGGGAATTTGGTCAGGCTAGAATACACCAGAACAAATACATTTTAAGACATTTGATATATGAAATACAGGTAATGGCTGCTAAGTACACAGATTATTTAATAAAAAAAACACTAACAATGTGCATGCCCACAGCCAATAGCAAGCCACCAAGTGGTGACTTCATCAGCAGACCTGCGAACTTGTGACTGAAGCAGAAAGGATGTTACATTACATTTCATGTGTATAGAGGGATGTACATATTTCAGAAACTTCTAAGCATCACGTCAGGTGTCAATTTTTAAGTGTCTGATGTCCATCTGGAAGGATGTGATGAGAAAGAATCACAGACCTAAAAGTTTGTGAAGATGGTACATTAATACAAATATTATGTTTCTGGACATCATCAATCATCCTGATTTAGACATAAAAAAAAGGACAATGTATAATGTCCAGTAACATAATATTTGTAGAAAGAATCACAATCTAAGTTCATGTACTACTCAGGCATTTAACTGTAAGGATGGGGAAAAGCCATTAAAAATCCTCTAAGGATTGCCAGGTGTGATATTGAGACTTGAAACAAACACTTCCCAAACAGAGATCTGACTCAATAGTGCCACCTGGCTGGCTGACTCACTGACCAAAAGCAGAACTCCCTTTGTAGCTACACATCAAGTATTTCCAAAGCAGGTTATAGATACTAAACTCAAGAAATTGTTATGTGCTATGGAATATGTACATTCAGCACTCTTACACCTTATCATGTGTCAGTACATTCCAGCTCACATCCTGCCAACCTATGATCTCAATATTTATTTTAGCTTTAATCTCCTATCAATGCCTCTGTCACCCATGATATTTTTTACCAATCGTTATACATATTGTCATGTGTTTCAGTGATTTGTACATGGGGTTTGGATTTGTGAATCAATTTATTGGATACTCTCAAGTTGTAAGTACAAGTAATTATAACATTCTGAGGATTATTGCTACTATAAGATACAAAATGAATTCTTCAATATCTGCTTACTAGATGCTACTTGGTAATACTCCAACTATTGAATCTTCCATCTTCGTTCCTCCAACATCTGCAACTCTCTCTAATTCTCCTCTGGACGTCTGAATCTTGGACTACATTAATCTCACATGAACCGACGATCAATCATTGTCTCCAAGGGCTCCATTCTGCTGTTCACATCTATGTTGGCCCAGACATACCTGTAATACCATGGCAACCAAACTTGCTGCCCAGCAAGGGACATGTATTCTTGTTGACAGTGTAACACTCGGAAACGTGTGTCATTTAGTCATTGTCTAGAAATAGACATCTCTGATGTGCTTCTCTGACTGCACACTTCTGGTGTTCAGGCATCATGTCACAATATTTCTTGGTTTTCCTATGAATGCTACATGTCTTGTCTTGTCCATCAGAACATCCCCAAATTAATCACCCCTGGAATATTATGAGAAGAATAGAAACTATGAAGCTCCTCATGGTACAACCTTTCTCATTCTCCTGTTCCTTCATTTCCCTTAGGTCAAATACTAACCCCCCACCCCCAGAGAACTGAAATGCATCAACGTATTACATCAATACCATGAAATGTATAAACTGCAAAATCTACTTACACTACTGACAATATAAATACCCCTTCCTCTAGAGGAAGCAACTGGCTTCACAATCCATGGGCCACGGTGCCTGTAATGTGATGAACACAATTCTCGAAAATCCATCGGCATCACAAATGTCTGAGGAATGAAGTCAAAGTGCTTTGCTCCTTTTGCATGCTGCATCTTCTCAATATTCTTGTACAAACGATCTTTGCGTGTAAGTTCATATGACCTGAAGATTTTAGCACAGTGTCAGACATTGCATTATGAAAATGCCAAAAATGGAAATAAAAACAATCAAGATGAAGTAAAATATTTATTAATTTTAAGATCACTGAAGAAAATTTTAAATATTTGAGGTATGAAATATCAGACCCCTTAGACAATGTTTGGATCAATAACTGTACTGTACTGGAATAAAGGTGAAGCTGTGACCGTGGTTAAGTAATTAGGCACTGTGCCATGAAGGTGCATGGGGGAGTGGATGTACAGCTCCACATTTTCTTCACCTCAGCACTTGCAGGAGGTGAGTGGTCAGCTTTATGCCTCACCCGCTTTACCCCCAGGTAAAGAGGTCCCACTCCCATTGGACAGGAGGTTGGCTGGACTCCAAAGAGAGTGTGGATGACGTGGAGAGGAGAAAATTCTTGACCCTATTGCAATTCAAACTCCAACATCTCGGTCATCCAGCCTGTGGCTGGATAGTTTTCAAAGAAAATATCACAAGCATAATTCATATATGCTTCAATAGCTAAATGAACTTCATACTTAAACACCTACACTTGGGTACACTACACTCAAACATACACAAAAATTAAAAGCATTAAAGATGAGATTCATGCAATATCTACTGGGATAAATTTAGAACATCATCTGCAAACTGTAGAGATATGACACATTTTAAATAATGACATTATTATCAAAAAGATGAAAACAATATGCAGAAGAAAAATTTGTTACAAAAAATAATGAACAAATATTTGAATATGCCAGTATATGGGTTATCACAATATAAGGATATCCAAGAAGATACCAATTTTAAACTTGAATCATCATTTCAGTATAGGAAGGAAAAGAAATGAATGAATGAATGAATGAATGGATAAAGGAAAGTAGTAAGAAAGAAATAAACAAAGAGAAAGGCTAAAGATGGCTTCAGAAGATGTGAAAGGAGAAGAAGAAAAAGAATGTCACAAAACATATACTGGGTAAAGTAAAAAATAAAAAGTAAAGCTATCCCTGTACCAGGCCGAGAAGGCCCATTGGTTGTGAGACGTTGAGGGTCCCACACTATCTAGACAATCCGCTCAAAGATTGCGGTAAGATTGTCAGCCTTACGCGCAGTTCGCGCTTTACTCCCCAGGAAAATTATTTAATTAATTCCTGGTACTCAGTTCTCTTAGAGGCTGAGTAAACCCCAGGGCCTTGTGTGGCTGGAAGGATTAGGTCAACTGAAAAAAATCCGATGACCTCATCGGGAACCCGCGACCTTCCGGCTTGTAGCATAGCCCCTCAACCCACCACGCTACCACGTGCCCCCAAACATATACTGGGAGGACAAAATAACAGAAATACTAAGAAACTGGGGAATCAAATTTATGTTGGCTACACTGAAAGAGCTTCAATTGGCAACAATGAATGGTTCTTCCATCTCTTTACACTCAGTATGGCTTCTGTCAATGCATTAGTGATTGTGCTGAGTTAAAGTTCCTGTGAAAGAATTAAAAATGGAAGACTTGTCCAATTTTGAGTAAGGACAGATCACTGGTTCATATTTAGCTGGTGCATCTCTTGCTAAAACTGCCACATTATTACGAAGGTCGTAGTGAAAGTCATGAACAACAATTTTTTGTAAAGTAACATGCTTCATTATTGACAAACCAAATACACCACCTCAATCTACAGACCTTTCTTTATTTTTCCACATAATCGCCACTTCTTTGTACACATTTCTCCTAGCGTTCTGGTAGTTTGAAAATTCCCCTTCTGTAAAATTCCGTTCCATCTGTCTGAAGACACTGATGCACTGCTTTCTGAATTGCCTCCCTTGTTTCAAAACGTTGTCCACACAGCTGATCCTTCACAAATCCGAAAAGATGGCAGTCGGAGAGTGCCAGATCAGGGCGATAGGAGGTGTGTGGAAGAACTTCCCACCCCATCATTGCAATTGCTTCCAATGTGAGGCGAGCATTGTCATGCAGGATGATGATGTTCCATCCCATACGTTTATCGCACAATGCATGATGGGGCTTGTGCAGCATCTGGACATAACGAGCAGCACTGATGGTTTGCCCAGGTTCCAGGAATTCATCCAGAATAAACCCCTCTGGATCCCAGAAGACTGTATCCATCACCTTCGCAGGTGATGGCACTGTCTTTGCCTTCTTTTTTGATGGAGAATGCACATGGTGCCATTCCATACTCTGCCATTCTGTTTCGTTTCAGGCTCTAAATGGTGAAACCAGCTTTCGTCACCTGTCACAATACAGAGCAAAAAATCATCGCCTTCGTGTCGATATCTCTGCAGCAGTTCTGAGGTGATGGCTTTTCGCTGACCTTTGTGGTCTTCGGTGAATAACCGCGGAACCCAACGAGCACAAACTTTCCTATAGCCCAAGCTTTCAATCATCTCTTGTACTGCACTGTGCCCTATTCCAAGTTTTTGGGCTATTGTGTCCACAGTCACACGCTCATCATCTTGAATGATCTCATCCACTCTTTTCTTGTTGCGTTCAGTTGAGGCTGTTCAAGGATGACCGCTCCGAGGCTCATCTTCGATGCTGGTGTTCCCATCTTTAAATTGTTTCCCCCATCTTCAAACACTGCTCGCACCCATAAGCACACTGAAGTCTCTGGTGAATTTCTGCAGCAGGGATTTCCTTTTTCACAAGAAATTCGATGACAGTACGCTGGCAAAATGACATGTCGTCGGCCATTTTGTTAGGAGTGATACTGGTCACGTGATGCAAGCTATTGACGTCATAAGACACTCAAGGTTAACACAACAGCTGGTTCCACATACCACCGTACTCTCTTTCATCTGCTGTTCCTAGGTTGCATGCAAAAAAAAGTTTCTCATGACTTTCATAGGACCTACATAGGTGTATTGAGAGTGACAGTTTCTAGGGTTATGTCAACATGCCCAAATCATGGGAAGAAATCATCGGCAAAGGGAAACAGTGGACAAAAGTCAACACTGACAGAGACTGTCATACACTGAGAAGAATTCCTTAAAAAATCACAGACCTACAGCAGCACAGTTGACCAGACAGAAGAACTGAATATTCATCTTGAAGACCCTGTTTCCACAAAAACTGTGTGATGTGAGCTTCACAAACCCAACATCCACAGTAGGGCTGCAATTGCTGAACCTCTCATTACTGAAAGCAGTACTCAGATGCATAAATGATGGTGTCACAACCATAAAACCTGGACATCACACAACTGGAAGAGTGTGTGATATGGGCCAGATGAGACATCTTTCACGCTGTTCCTTACATCAAGAAGAGTTCACTTTTGGAGAACACACACAAGGAAACCTATCATCTGGAATGCCTGGTTCCAACAGTGAAACACGGGGGATATTCTGTGATGGTTTAAGCAGGAATGCTGTGGTACAGTATACAGTTGTTCCCATTATCACCTCTCATGGCTGAATTACTGCAAGGAAGTACGTGGACAGGTTGGGTAATTAGGTGCATCCCATGATACAAACGTTATTTCCAAACAATGATGCTGTTTTTCAAGACAACAATGCCCTACTCACGCACCTGAAACTGTTCAGTCATAGTTTGAAGAGCATGAAAGCGACCTTCAGCATCTTCCCTGGCCAGCACAATCTCCATATTTGAACAATATTGAACCAGTCTGGTCAGTTTTTGAGACTACAGTGAGGAACAGATTCCCACCTCCAACATCCCTAAAGCAACTTGAAGATGCTCTTCAAGAAGAACTGTATAAAGTTCCACTAGAGACTGTTGAAAACTTGAACAAGACTATTCCAAGAAGGACTAGGGCTGTACTGAAGACAAAAGGTGGTCAAACACCATGTTAATAAAGAAATGTGTACAATATCTCTAGTGTTCCCATTATTTTGTCCTGTGTGGAATGGATGTATTTAATGGAATTACAATTAGAGTTTATTTGAAAGACATTTAGCTAATAATTTATTAAATATTAAAGGAGAAACAAACTTTTCATATATTACCTGGGGAAATGATTCACTCTTTGGTAAGGTGTCATGGCTTTCAACAGATGGGGTTTAGGGTGGATTCCTGTCCACAGCAGGTTAAAGTCAGGAATGTTCGGATGAACCTGAAAAACAGAAAGAATATCGAATGAAGAGACAGTGTACAAAAAGACAATTATTTAATATTAACTCTCTACCAAAAATATGTAGCTGTAGTTGTATGCTTTCAGGCGTCATGTCACAGAACGTTACCCTTTTCTTCGTATTACGAAACTGTCGGCGCCTCAGGATGCATAGCGTTGAATGATAGGACTGAATTTAGAACGAAGTGGTTGCGGTCTAACCTAGGTATTATCCGGGAACTTGCCTGGAGGGATTACAGGATCATAAAAAGAAATCAGCCAGGATAGCCAGTGTTCGAACCCAGCATCTCCTGAACACCAATCTAGAACCTTACAGCTATATTAATCGGCTCGGTATATAGAACATTTGCTAGTACTATTAAATATGTTAGTGTGGCAACCGGTGTATGCTTCTTAATGATTTTATTATACTTGAAAATCTTATTTTACATTTTTATGTGCAATTATTTATTGACTTAAAAGTTTTAAATTTAAATTTTACATTAAAAACTTAAAAAAATGTAAAATTTTAAGTTAATAAATAGTTGAACATAAGACGGTAAAATAAGATTGATAATCAAAATGGAAGAATGCAACAGGATGCTGCAATACAATATTATTCTTAACGATTATTTAACGACCTGTATCAATAACCCCGCTCTCTAAGTTCAATTGATCTGTGGGACTGAAAGGACTGAGGACTCAAGAGTGATGAGATAGTTTAGTTGATAATTTCTGAGAAACTTCATAACATTAAATTTGGGCTACACTTCTCCACTTCTGTAAGTAGTCAACCACATCAGGTTTAAGACAGGACAGGGCCTATCTTCTGTTCGATATTAGGACTTATACAGTCCTGTAATCTCTGTCAGCCAACAATGCTAATCATCACAGTCATCCAAATTAACACATCTGCATTATCTTCAGTATCCTCAGATAAACGAAGCCGATTTTCTTAAGGTCCAGTTATTAGGATACCTGATAACAGTACTACACATTACACACTGTACTGCTATTTATGCACATTTTACAATTGTGCATACAATTCTTCCTTTATGTATCGATTTTTTGAAGTGGGGTATATCAGCACTTTCTTCCTCCAAGTATCTCTCAAAGGACTGCATATTACATTCATGGAAGATGCCAAATGAAAATGTCACTACATACTGATATTAACTTTCTTCTAAAAGGTAAAAAACTAAAGTTGTTCCTGTGCTTAATTAATTAAGCATTATGCCTTAAGACATATGGGGGAATGGATGTACAGAGCCACATAATTTTGACCTCGGCACTAGCTGGAGGTGAGTGGTCAGCTTCACGAGGCTTCCGTTTTACCGCTGGGAAAATCGCCCCCGATACCCATTGTATATGAGGTTGGATGGACCCCAGAGCCAATCTGGACGACATGGAGAAGAGAAAAATCTTGCCCCTACAGGGACTCTAACTCCGACGCCTTGGCCGTCCGGCCTGTAGTAAGTCACTATGCCGACTGTGCTAGCCCAGCTCCTGATTAACTTTCTTCTATGTTGTCAAAACGAAAAATACAATTGCGATAAGCCTGGGTGAAATTAAGACGCATAAAAATAAATGATTAGCTTGCCACTTTTAATAAAATTTTCAATATGTGCATTTTATAGAGCTGAGAAGTAAAAAGGAATTAGTTAATAAAGTCCTCAACTGTTTAATATGCTGAGACTCTTTATGTATTTAGAAACTATTCGATACATTTTATACTACTGATGTGTTCAATTCAACCTTTCAAAATATTGGTGCATATTATTAGCTTCAGGTGACGCATTCAGTTCGGACAAATACGATATAACGAAACAACAACAACAACAACAAAGTCGAGGCTAGAACCCCCAGAGTTAAGGTAACATACAAACATACATACGTGGTACTATCAAAACGTTCACGAAATTTGAATTTTGCGCGCAAATGGTTATGAGTTTATGAGTACATCGAAATGCCGCTAGTTGTCTCCCCACACACCCTTCTTGAATCAGTGTGGCAAGCGGCGTCGAGTTGAGTGGTTGGGTTTATTGTTGGTGAACGTATTTCCATTGTTGTTTCCGTGAGTCTGCGGTTTTGCGATGGCTGACCTGAGAGAGCTGCGTGTCTGTATGAAGTTTTGTTTTAAACTAGGGAAGACCGCTGCAGAAACGCACCAAATGTTGAAGCAAGCTTTTTGTGACAGCAGTCTAGCCCAGACACAAACTAACGACTGGCATAAGCGTTTCAAGCGAACATCGACTGACGTTGACGACGTTCGGGAAGGCCGTCAACTGGCACCACACCAGAAAATGTCGCGAAAGTTGGGGATCTGATTCTACAAGATTGCAGACTGACCATCCAAGACCTCTGTAACATCTTGGGACTAAGTTATGGTACATGTCAACGACTTTTGTCAGAGGAACTGAACATGAGGAGGATTGCGGCGAACTTTGTGCCACGACTGCTGCAAAATGAACGAAGCAGCATCGCTTGGAAGTCTGCAGGGAACTTCAACAACAGCTTCAAGAGGATCCAGACTTTCTTCCGAAGGTGGTCACTGGTGACGAAAGTTGGGTTTATGGCTGCGACCCTGGAAGTAAGCAGCAATCGTCGCAATGGAAGAGCCCTTCTTCACCTCGGCCAAAAAAAGCTCCACAAGTCAAGAGCAAAATTAAGTCCATGTTCATAAGTTTTTTATATTGACGGGATTGTTCATAAGGAGTTCGTCCCTCCTTGTCAGACAGTCAATAAAGAGTTCTGTCGCGATGTTCTAAGGCGTTTGAGAGAGAACATGAGGAGAAAACGTCCAGAGAAGTGGCGCACGAACGACTGGGTACTCCACCATGACAACGCACGACCGCATAAGGCTTACATTGTGCAGGAATTTTTGGCAAAAACAAGATGGCAGTTGTTCCCCACCCACCGTACTCACCAGACTTAGTTCCATGCGACTTCTATCTCTTCCCCAAGATGAAAATCAAGTTGAAGGGGCGAAGATTTGATACAGTTGCGGAAATTCAAGCGGAAACGCAGACGATTCTAAACACCCAAACAAAGAAAGACTTCCAGGATGCATTTCAAAAGTGTCAGAAACGCTGGGATCGGTGTATGCACTCCCAAGGGGACTACTTTGAAGGTGATGGTGCAGAATAAGATCCAGGTAAGACGTAATAGTTTTTATTAATATATTCTGAGAACTTTTCGATAGCACCACGTAGATTCATTTTAAGATAGAGAACAATAACAAGCCCAAGTGAACAGAAAGTAATGACATACTTTAACGAAATTGGTTTTAACTACAGTCCGTGATGAGTATTTGGAGGCATCGCTATTAAAATTATTTTCTTTTTCATCCGTTCCTCTTATGCCCTCATACGGGTGTCAGGATTTCTTTCTTTTATTCTTTTAATCATTTCACAGACTGTACGAATCCTTGGACGAGTGATTAGCCCGTCGCAAGGCCGCTACCTAAACACAGCACAATACAAACACAGAAAAACGCATACACACAGATCAAACATCCATGCCCTCAGTGAGATCAGAACACACGATCCCGGATTCCGAGCGAGCGAAGACAGTTCATGCCTCAGACCGATCGGCTACCGTGACCGGCAAAAAAAAAATTATAATCTAGAAAACCCGCCTACTCAACAGCAGCACATCAAACATAACTGGTATTTCCGCATATTAAATACATCGGCAAAACCTTGAAAAACATTCACAACTATTCACATGTAATCGTGTTTTCATATCATCATCCGATACGTCTGGACAAGATACTGTACACTGTTTCTCTTTTGTGTCGAGATTTGGAACGTGTCCAGTTGCGTGAAGCCTGTCCTTTCCATCTCCATTACTGTGGATAGTTAGATTTGAAAGTGACGCATCTTGACAATGTAAGCTGTCAGTCGTGTTGCATCCGAGGATCGGGAAGGACGGATCAGTACGGCGAAATCTGTGTAAGGCCTTCACCCAGTGCATTGATGTATGTATCCTGGTCTTCACGCGGGTATGTTTACACTTCAGGGCATGTTGTCTTATAAACGATGTGAAAAGGTGAATGTCTTACGAGTAAATGGATGTTGTTCTCTCCAGATCAGTGATTGGTAAACCTCTACGTGTTTTTAGTTCATTTACGAACCGGGGTAGCTCAAACAGGAAAAAGACTAACGGCTGGTTGAACGGTTTCGGTTCTCGCAAGAGACAGGCCTATTTCATTTACGAACTGGGGTAGCTCAAACAGGAAAACGACTAACGGCTGGTTGAACGGTTTTCGATTCTCGCAAGAGACAGGCCTGTTTCATTTACGAACTGGGGTAGCTCAAACAGGAAAAAGACTAACGGCTGGTTGAACGGTTTCGGTTCTCGCAAGAGACAGGCCTATTTCATTTACGAACTGGGGTAGCTCAAACAGGAAAACGACTAACGGCTGGTTGAACGGTTTTCGATTCTCGCAAGAGACAGGCCTGTTTCATTTACGAACTGGGGTAGCTCAAACAGGAAAAAGACTAACGGCTGGTTGAACGGTTTTCGATTCTCGCAAGAGACAGAGCGGCTCTGGAGCTTATCAAACTTCTACTTCGAGTGCCGGCGTTAAAGCGGCCATGGCATGAAGTTTTATCCCTAGTATTCACACGTGTTCATGGTTCTTTAGCCTAGGGACAACCTGCTTTTGTTCTTTATTTATTTAATGACACTTTCTAAACTACAACTCTCCGGGTTTGTATTCGGGATGTATCCGGTTCGAATCTCGTACGGATCACTATCCTGACAGAGGGCTTTCGTGGTTTTCCAGAAACTAGCCACTGACCAGGAATATCCCCTTCCAAATCCTTATCTATTCCTCACTTACGATTATCTTCCCATCTTATTCGAGATTATTAACCGCTGAAACTGAAACAGTGGCGATAAATAACCAACACAGCTCCAACTGCACAGGTTATATGGAGTGACATGAAAGGATAAGTACGACTGACAATCTCAGGATGTGCCTACACTGTGTACGAACT